TAATAAATATAAAAAAAATTAAAAAGTTTATAAAAAATAAAATATTTGAAAAAAATGTAAATAAAAAACATTTTCGGTTTCGGCCTGACAATTTTTTTATTTCAGTTTCGTTTTGGTTTTGAAATTTCCATTTCGGTGCACCTCTAGTTTCCTTTCCATACCTATCTGTAGAGATCTGTGACTCTCATCGCCCACCCAGCTTTATTCTCTTTTCCATCCTCTCCTCGCTTGTCTGCAGCTTTCAGGATGAAGCTTCTATAATGTCAGATATGTTATGCAGCATCCGAACGCCTAATCTTACAGCTGGAATCCCGCAGCTACAGAAAGGCCTGGCGTGGACTTCGTACTGGTGTCCACCCAGCGCTGGAGGGGATTTGTTCCTTATAGACCACAGTACAGGGGGGGAAAAATAGTATATATGTATGTATCAGTACTGGACTGGGGAGAATAGCAGAATGAATATGTATTGACCGATGAAGCATTGGTGGGTAGTTTTTCGCTCATACAATACTTGCGCGGTGTATGATAATATTATTCTGATGAGAAGCTGCTTCACATATAGGAAAAAAGACGCTATTCACTTGCAGAGACTTCAATTGTTACTGAGTTGTAATACGCAGTTTTACCACCAGGTGTCACCCATAACCTACTTCCATACCGCCACTGCCTGTATAACTGCAATGAGCAATTCTGACATGTTTCAGGCTTCAAAATCTGATTTCTAGAAGTTATTTTGATGTGTGAAACGAAATTTTTCTGTAAAGTCAGTTTTTGTGTCTTTTAGCATTCTCAACGTGAAATGGCTTTGCTCTGACTTTTGCTGAGCCCACAGTGTTTGAATGGGATTTCACCTCTGCCTTGTAACGCATGCTTTACCTCTCTGTGGACCTTTCAGCCTCCCTAGCATGGACTATAATATGGTTTCACCTGATCTGTGTACCAGTCCCCAGTGCTATGCCTGTGCTAAGTCTAGGGCGCACTTGCCGTGTCTTCTTCACTTGATATTTAAGGTTAAAAAAAAGAGGACCTGTAGTCTGGAAGCTGTGCCCAAAAAAAGAGGACCTGTAGTCTGGAAGCTGTGCCCAAAAAAAGAGGACCTGTAGTCTGGAAGCTGTGCCCCAAAAAAGAGGACCTGTAGTTTGGAAGCTGTGTAGGCAGGGCGCAAAGGATAGTTGTAGGGATGTTCAGATACCGATACTAGTATCGGGACCGATACCGGGCATTTTCACAAGTACTTGTGAAAATGCAACGATTCTTAAGGCAGATACTGGTACATTTTTTAAAACGCAGCAGCTGCTGAGTACCTGCGCTTGTGGGGACCTCAGCAGCTTGCTGGTGACCTGCAAGTAGCTGTCCATGGCAGTGCCTGCCTGGTTCTTTATCTCCTCCTCCTTCCCGGCGCAGGCACAGCCATGGACAGCCTCACAGGCAGAATACATGTCACCAAAGCAGAATACTAGTCTGCCTTGGGGACATGTGTTCTGCTTTGGGGACATGTATTCAGTTCTGGTGACATCTGTATTTAGCCCTGGTGAGAAACTTCCCTAAAATCATCAGTCTGTGTTGTTTTAGAAAAAATGGATGGAGGGATATCACCTGCACACCAATCAAAGGATTTCAGCAAAAGTCCATCTTAATGACAAATGCCATTCAAAATACGAGCACCCACCTGTATATACAGGACATCTATTGATAATTTGTCCCTTTAAGAAAAAGTATCGGTAATTGGTATCGGCAAGTACCTGAGGGAAAGTAGATAGATAGTTGATAGTATTGCCCAAGGGCTCCCTGTAGCTGATCATTTACCAGTTACCCCTTATCATGCCTTGTTCTGCACTGCGTCCCTGTGGGGGGCTGCCTTGGCAGAGGCAGGGCTTTGCTTCCTCTTGTCAGAGCTACCCCATTGATAACTGGTGATCTCATGACTGGGGGGGGGTAATGATTAGGAAGCAGCAAGAAGGGTTGAGGAAGCTTAGATCCATGGGATTAATGAAGCGGGGAGATCTCTGCATTGCAGGTCTTCAGACACAGCTTCCGCTCCAGCAAGAACTGTGAGCAGCACAGGAGTGACATTAATTATAACTTCAGATCTGGTGAGATGAGCAGTCAGGGTCAGCAGTGTCTTAGATGATCTCACACTGCAGCTATACTGCTATAAGGTTTCAGGCCCAGGAAGAGCCCTGCTATGAGTCTGGAGGCCCAGGAAGAGCCCTGCTATGAGTCTGGAGGCCCAAGTTCCATTTAACATTTGTTGCTGTTATTGTTGATTTGGTTTAAATCCCTGATTGAGATGCATATTGCTAGAACTAATTGCGACTTTGTGTACTTGTCACCAGGGTGTCCCCCTTCTGATTATTGGCCATCACATCCTCTATGGGAAGACCGCACGTTTAGAGAAACCCTTTGCTGTCCTCGTGAAGAGTAGCATTGTCTCCCAGGAGGCAGCTGAACACGCTTACGTGGAGACCAAGTACACGGTGACCGCACTTATTAAGAAAAAGATAATTTTTAAGACCAGGCCAAAGCCGATCATCACCAACGTTCCCAAGAAGGTGTGATACAATGGTTCTTATAGACCGCTGGACCTTTCTTGCAGAACCAGCCAAACCTGATCGGATCACAACGTCTGATGTCACATATTCAGAATCTGCATTTTATTTGCGGTGTCTGCTTGCATTTCTCCATGATTTTGTGAGACCGTTAGGCAGTGTTCATATAGTCAGCGTATATGAAAGATTATCTGGCCCATGTCTGCTCATCCTGCGTCCCATTCACACGTCTGGCCAGGAGTTCACCGTAATTAAGTCCAGTGGTTTGGTTTGGTAATGCCTGGAGCAGACCAACATGAAGTCCATTATACATGTGAGATTCGGTGTTTGGGGGACACTGGGTTAGAGATGGAAACAACGAACGTAACTATTCCTCTATTTTTGTATATTGTATTTTTTTGCTGTTTTGATTTCGGTAAATATGTCTAAAATTTGCTTTTTTTTTATTTATATAAAGAACAATATTACACATGTCAGCTGTCATTCACAGCGTTCCCTGTATTCCATAGAGGCAGATGCAGCTGAAGATGAACTTCTGTATACAGTTATAACTACCGTCTTGGGCCGCATTGACACTACGCGCATTTAAAATGGTTTTCTAAACACCTATAAATGCATTCAATTATTTCCGATGGATCTGTTCACACCTTGTGTTTAGATGCTTTTCGCTGCGTTTAGAACAATTTAAAGTGATGTGCGTCCAGGAATTAATTTGAACTTCGAAATGCATGTAAATGCAAGATGTATTTATTTGCAGAAATCTCATTGGCTACCCCAGTGGACAAAGGACAGACGCATCTAAACGCATGTGTGTAAATGTGTGTCATTTTAAGCTTGAAGAAGCATAAAAAAGAAACTAGATTGACAGATTTTGATTACAGAAATCAAAAACCAAAAGTGGCCAGTGTGAATGAAACCTTCCAGGCTAATGAGGACTGTCCTAGGTCCGGTTCACTGTTGTTTACAGATCATGGCTTCATTGATGTTCAATACTACACACAGCGCTCTCCTTCCAGTGCTGCGGCTGAGAGGTCCGGCTCTCACACAGTGACAGGATCCTGACATTCCTCCTCCTTCTGTCCACATGGACAAGGTGAGATCCTGTCCGTTACCTGCCCCTCCTCTTCCTTTGTCCAGTCACACAACACCTTGCATTATGTTGCCAACATACAAGCTGTTTTGTGAATGGATGAGGAGAGAGGAAACAGAGTGTGAACAACCGGATCCCTTCACCGCATGAGAGCTGGACCTCAGTCGCAGGGCCAGGAGGAGAGTGACTGCTGGGGGGCAAGGGGCAAGGTCAGGATTTATTTTTATTCCTTGCCCTCTAGACTAGCAATGAACATTTCCTATGTGAGGGGCAGCAAATGAATAGCAGAGTCTGAATGGAGATCAACTTCAAGTCTTCATTATTCTGGGCTGCTTGAATACATCTTTTGGGATGAGATTGAGGGCCCAGTTGCACCATCAAGAGTGCATTCAGCCTCTGGAACACAACCCGGCCGACTCACTTTGTTTTTGGGGCGTGGCTGTGCGTTGAAATCAATGGCACCGCAGCCACACACCCCGCCCGTCCTGCGATCTCTGGCACCCAAACACATGGCATTCCAGTCCAGTACGATCTGCAAAAAATAGTGCATGCAGCACGTGTTTGAGTGCCGGCGATCGCACCGCGGGTGGGGGGGCGTGGCTGCGGTGCCATTGATTTCAATGCACAGCCCCTCCCCCTCTCGCCCCAAATCAAAGTGAGCTGGCCGGGTTGCGTTCCAGAGGCCGAATGCACTCTTGATGGTGTGACAGGGCCCTGTAGGGGAGCACCTCAGCTAGGGATACTTTTATAGTTTGGGGTCATTTATAAAAAGAAAATGGAGCTCCGAGCTCGGCTTTAACCACCTTCCGTCCATGGCCGGAACGGCCGGACGGACGTCTGCTAGGAGCGGGAGGGCGTCTTAAGACGTCCTGCCCCTCCCCCCCTCTCGTGTCCGGCATAAAAATGTTTTAAAGTCCCCCCCACATAAACATGCGTCGGGTGCGCCTATGTACGAAAACGACGATTGCTCCTATTATGCAGCACATGTTACATATCGCCGCAAACGTCGGAGTGAGAGCAATAATTCTAGGGCCATCAATCACTGATGACACTAAACTGATGAGCGGTAAAAACGTTTAAAGTGTCGCCTATGGCCAATTTTGGTTGCGGTCGTTTTCTGCGATTTCGCGGGCGCGCGCAATTTTAAAGGTTGACATGTTTAGTGTCTATTTACCCGACGTGACCCCGTCTTTTATATTTTACCAAAAAATTGGGGTGAAAATAAATGTTTCATAACATTTTATTGGGAAACATGTTTTTTTTCAAAATTTAGGGTACTTTTTTTGTTATATAATAAAAAATAAACCCCCAGTGGTGATTAAATACCACCAAAAGAAAGCCCTATCTGTCCCCAAAAAATGGTATAAAATTAATTTCAGTAAAGCGTTGCATGACAGAATAAACATCAGTCAAAGTATCGCAGCGCTGAACACTGAAAAATGGCCTGGTCAGGAAGGGGGTGAAACACCATGGTCTTCAAGTGGTTAAGAAAACAAAGAGTACAAATGACAAGCCCCAAAAATCTTTTTCCATGCAAGGAAATGATGAAAGCAAAACGCCAAACCTGTTGGATCTGTATCGGTCTCTTTTTATTTTAGGAACATCTTGAAAAAAATCTTCGAACGCATATCACAAAATAAATAAACATTTGTAAATAGTAAAAACTGTACAAAATGAAGACCGCATGAAGAACATCCAGGCCGGGGACTGGCTCATATCATGCTCCATGCAGAGGCCATGCTCACACCCTGCATTGTAACACATAGCCGTGCCGAGTATCGCTCACGGATCAAACCTGAGCAAAGGAAGGCGGTAGCATTGTACACAGCCACCAATCAGGTGCCTTGTATTGTTAAGGGCCGATTTTTGAGCACATCTGCTTTGGGGCCGACATAGAGTTGTCTTGCTTTAAGGCCTCGTTCACACCAGATGCAGTGCGTTCCGGCCCGATTCTGGCCAGAACCCACTGCCTCGCATTGCGGCCGGCTCACTTTTTTGTGGGGCAGGAGGGGGTGTGGCGGTCCATAGAAGTGAATGGCACCGTAGCCACGCCCTCCGGCCGCAATGGCATCTGGACCCACAGTAATCCCCTCCCTGACTTGGTGAATAGAGTGGAAGCGGTTTGTTACCTTTGATGTCAGGTATGATGAAGAGGACATTGATGAGAGCAGGCGTAGGCAACCTCGGCACCCCAGTTGTTGTGGAACTACAGGTCCCATAAGGCTTTGCAAGACTGACAGTTACAGGCATGACTCCCAGAGGCATGATGGGATTTGTAATTTCAGGAGTGCCGGGGTTGTCTACCGCTGCTTTAGAGCTTCCATTTGCAAGTTCTCTAGATAACAATGCGGTTTGTAGTCTCCTGATGGTTGTTAGTGATGTTGCATCATATATGGCTGCTCCTTGTATCCTAATAACTGTCCCACCAATCACTGGAGGCTGATGGATGTCTCTGTGTGTGAAGATGTATTCATAGAAGGGCTGTGCAATTCTGGTGTGACAGATTCTATTGTTCTGCATGACATGAACACTCGACACCTGCGTATAAAAGAGCACCTTATCCTTCAATCCTAACTTACATAAATGTTAATTTGCAGAATTGTGCAATCCATCACGGATAATTGGATTCATCAATTTAACAGAACGCCAATTCCCAAAAGCAGCCTGAGCGGAGCAGGGATGGGATGTGAGGACAGGATGGATGCGTCATAACCCTGAGCATTGTTCTCCTGCGTTGCTACATTTTGCAGAATTGTTTCATTCATGACATGCAATTTATTCCACACACTCAGACGACGGGGCGGTTTCCTGTTCACACCTCACAAGCGCTTCGTATGGCCGAGTTTATTTTTATTGTATAACATATATTTTATTTTTAAAGAATCTGAACACTGGAGGATGGAGATTTCGGGCTCGTTCACATGCAATCGATGCGCATTGAAACACGCTGACGCAGGCCGCATCAAGGGTCAGAATACTAAGGTTCTGTATTTTATTAGAGGCATGGAAGAATGTTACCTTGACGTAGGTTTTGTCAGCATGTCGGCGTTTTTCTGCAACACTCTTGTGTGGTGTCATTGGGGCGTGTAGGGATCAATGGCTTTGTCAGTGCCCTTGTGCTGATCTACGCAGATCTATGCACAGGATGTGAACGAGACCTTACAATTGCTCCATCCCTGGGCCTGCATGGTAGAGGTAGTCACTGTGGACCATGTGAATGGCCACATATGACCAAAGCTGTTTCTAAGCAGATCAAGGGGTCCAGTCTTAAAGGACCAGTCCATTACAACGGATGGAGAGTGTAACCACCGGACATTCTATACATCGGGGACTCTGCTGATGATGAGATGTCTGTGCTTAGTTCCTGAATCTGCTCACTGGCTGTGGCCATTATGAGGGGCTCCCACTCTCCCTGTTGGACTTTTTCTTTATTTGATATTATGGGGATTGTGACAGGAACAGCCGGAATGCGGAAACACCCCAAAATCACAAGTGGACAGAAGTGTTTGGGAATGATGGCAGGAGATCATACGCAGTATAAGACATACATGCCAGAGGCTCACACAGCCTGCAGGAGGCTAACCTCCTGTGGACCGATCCTTTAACACAGGGGTAGCCAAACTCCGGCCCTCCAGCTGTGGTGGAACTACAAATCCCATGAGGCATTGCAAGATTCTCACAGCCATGATTCCCAGAGAGAGATGCATCATGGGATTTGTAGTTTCACCAAAGCTGGATGTTGGCTACCCCTGCTTTAACATGTTGCCTTCATTTGGAGAAAAGGTTTCTATGGTGCAACCATGTCCCTCTTCCCCGATTCTGCTCTGCCACCAAGGTTTCTGCTTACTTGGTCCTCTTATATGACCGGGGACAGCGAATGGGTGTGGCTTAGCTCCAGGGATGGGGCATAGCCAAAAATGTGGGAAATCCCACCCTCCTAGGTTGGTAGGACCCCTGTCAGGTCTTCCGCTGGGAACATTCACCCTCCATTTATTCTGGTCACCACTGGGACAGAAAGTGATGGGAAATCCATAATTCACACAATTGTCACTGGCACAGGAAGTGAGGGAAATATTCCCACGGGGGACCCCTGATCTACAGACATCTGCCTGAAACTGTTCCGTGGGCTGAACCGAACAGATCCCTCCATCACCGCGTACAAACATTGATCGGTCCTCATTGTATTCTGACAGCTGCCGGCTCCGTTCGTTCAAAGGTTTTCCGACCGGCTCCCTGGATCTGGAAAGCGCGCCGACAGCAGAATTTCAACCGGTTCCTGAAGAGCCGGCCGAGATTCGCACAGTGTGTGGCCGGCGTGAGAGCAGATTTCTTCTCACTTCCTATTGTGTCTCTGGGAGAGGAAGTGAAGGGAAATCCTCCCAATAGGAGCGAGGCGGCAGTAAAATAACAGGCAGGGGGTGTAAACCATTCCCTTCTCTATCCAATAATTGCTTTAGATATTATTCAAACAAAGTAAAACTGCAAAAAGATGAAATCTAATCTCTGCCCATCCGTCATCCGAAGCCCTGAGCCAATCCTTCCTCTCCTGGCAGCGTGAGATGGTCCAGCCAATGCATACTGAGCTGCTGCTGGGGACTGTCAGGAATCACTCGTGTGCTTAGCAGAAGTCTCAACTCTCAGGAATGAACACAGAAGCACCATTGTTTTGCTTGAGCTGCCTGCCCTCTAACATGCAGGAAAATCATAAACAAGGAAGTTGCAGTGAGTGATAACATGAAAACTAGAATCCTTCAGAAATTGGCACCTTTATCTTTCAAACAGAACCCGCCAGGATAGAAATACAAGACCTGCCCTTGCTGACTAGTGTTTGGAGGTGCAGGCTACGGGGCTGCTATCCTTACCGATGCTTCACCATCCACCCCCCAGTCACATACCCGAAACAAGGTGTTCAGGGATTGAGGAAGCAGGGCTAAGGATGACAGCACTGACTAAGTAAGCAGCAAAGTCGGGATAAGGATGACAGCACTGACTAAGCAGCAAAGTCGGGATAAGGATGACAGCACTGACTAAGCAGCAAAGTCGGGATAAGGAGGATAGCACTGACTAAGCAGGGATAAGGAGGATAGCACTGACTAAGTAAGCAGCAAAGTCGGGATAAGGATGACAGCACTGACTAAGTAAGCAGCAAAGTCGGGATAAGGAGGACAGCACTGACTAAGTAAGCAGCAAAGTAGGGATAAGGATGACAGCACTGACTAAGTAAGCAGCAAAGTCGGGATAAGGATGACAGCACTGACTAAGTAAGCAGCAAAGTCGGGATAAGGAGGATAGCACTGACTAAGTAAGCAGCAAAGTCGGGATAAGGATGACAGCACTGACTAAGTAAGCAGCAAAGTCGGGATAAGGATGACAGCACTGACTAAGCAGGGATAAGGAGGATAGCACTGACTAAGCAGGGATAAGGAGGATAGCACTGACTAAGTAAGCAACAAGAGGAGAGGGGAATGTGTATGGACAGTGAGAGGGGTGTTTGTATGGACGGTATGCGGGGTGCAGCAATGCAGGAAGTAGAGGAGAGGGGGATTTGTATGGACGGTATGCGGGGTGCAGCAATGCAGGAAGTAGAGGAGAGGGGGATTTGTATGGATGGTATGCGGGGTGCAGCAATGCAGGAAGTAGAGGAGAGGGGGATTTGTATGGATGGTATGCGGGGTGCAGCAATACAGAAGTTTAGGACGATCCCAGCAGAAGATGACTTCAGATTTCCACCAACATTTTGGCACACACCAGGGTAAGCGCAGCCAAATCTGGTGCACCACCACACAACAAACTGGTACGCCACTTTTACTAATTTGTTGCTGGAGCCACTAATAGAAATATATTTGGCATATAGAAATTGGTGTGCGCCAATCAGGCCTGGACAAACCCCAGGAGCCAGGTCGCCAATGCTCCATAAAACTGCTCTATAACTTTGGAGGTTTTCCTTAGTTGTTGTCAGTAGAGCCGGCTCCTAGATACAATCCTGCCGGAATCTCCTGAATTCCATATTAATTTGTCCACCGCCGGTGTCAATCTTTCTTAATCCCGCGTCTTATTGATGCTTTTCTGCACCCCGTGCTGAGGACAAATCCACCGGCGCCAACATACCAGCGTACATATTCCTGTCCAGACAGGTTTCCTTTAACTACCAAAAGGTTTAAAGCCCCCAGCCATTGTTTTCAGTTCTGCATAGAGTGGGCATGAGTTACAATTTCTGTCAGTTTTCTTTCTGTCTGTGACCCCAATTAAGGAAATTCACCCCCCAACCCCACTTCCTGTGCAAGAAGAAACCGGTTTCTTGTTCACTAATACAAGAAATGGGGAAGTAGTTGTCACAGGAAGACACAAACAGCAATGAAAACAGAACTTCCAATTTTTCCCCACTCCACTAAAATGTGTTTTTGTTTGTGTCCCCCTTCAGAGAGATTCTCACCTCTTCCTGTCTTGGAAGGAAGTGAGGGGGAATCTCCCACACAGACAACAAATAAAACATGCCAGAGGTTCTAACCCTTCCTACTGTCTAAAACAACAACCTGCAAGAAGAGATTGGATTAAGTAAAACAAACCCATTTAAAGCAAACCTGTTTCCTTGCTGTCAATGTTGATGTGCAATGCTCTGCAGAGCTTGCTCACAGTGATTGCTTTGTGGCTGGCACCATACCAATAATACTGGGTACCTTAAGGCTGTGCCACATATGGCTCATATTGCTTTGGCAACTTGCTCTTATTGTGATCTGCCTGAGGTATATGTATGCATAGTGTATTCTTGTCTCTGTTAGACTTTGCTGGTGATAAAATTGTCCCCCGGTGACCTCGTTCTTCCACCGTCCTGCAAGTTAAAGTTTTGGTTGGCCCGGTTGTCGGCGCGAAACAAGACTTCACACCTCCGCTAGCGCCAGGTTATAAAGCTCCTGTTTCTTGCCGCAGCGCCGGGCAACAATCGCCACGTACAAACTTAGCAGCGCCAGCCAATAACAGCCATACAGTATGGCTCCCGTTACCAGGAACAGCAGTTCGGTTTCGGTGAAGGGGTCCTGACTTTGGCAGTAGGCCGTGTACACCAGACCCCCCAGAAGGACACAGAACCAGACCGATACCGGTACTACCCCCATGAAGTTCACCACAAGCTTTTTGCGCCCTGAGGTACCCCAGCCAGACTTGTTGATGGTGATCACTGCAAACATTTTGGCAGGGAGCAGGCTGGTCATGTAGAGAAGAGAGTACAAAGACATGAAGATCATTTCCACGTTGCCGCGGAGGAAGCACGCGTAGGTGGCCTTCACGATGCCGACCAGCTGAACGGTCAAGAGGAAAAGCATGATGTTCCAAATGCGACCACGGTAGAAGAGCTGCACCACGGTGGCCACCAGAAAGAATGGGAAGAAGCCGGTCACCACAGACTCATAGGTCATCCAGAGGTGATGTTTGTGGAACCAGAGAGCGTTGTACAACCACTCCCGGAAATAGGATTTGCTCCACCGTGTCTGCTGGTTCAGCCAACGCAGGTACTTGGTGGGGGTCTCTGTCAGGCACTTGGAACGTGCCGTGTACTTAGTCCGGTAGCCCATGCTAAGCACGCGATTGGTAAGGTGTCGGTCATCTCCAAAGCTGCATTTCTGGCCCAGGAATGTCTGGTGGTACCAATCCTCCAGGAAATATTGCAGAAGGCTGTTCCGGTACATCCCCAGTGGGCCGCTGATGCACTGCACACAGCCAAAGTAGGACTGGCAAGCTCGCTCCACATTAAATGCCATCCAGTAACGCACACTGCTCAAGAAGGAGATCCACGAATCGTATTTGTTCAATATCTGGATGGAAATGAAAGGAGACGTCAATGGGAGATAGAGATGGACGATAAAAAGCTGTCTGGTTGATATGGACTTGATATTGATATGCATTCTGTGGTGTCTCATATCTCCCTGGGACATCAGGGGTAAAACCTCCCTGCTAAGGTGTCCCTCTGCCCACCAACCCCCAGCATAAAGTCTACAGCTGGCCATACACTGGTCACATTTTATCCAGAAGGCCAGTGTGTGGCCCAGCTCGGACCCCCTGTTCAGCAAAATTTGATTTTCCAATTGACTTTTGTTGAAGGAGCCGGCCAAAAGAATCGCAACTAAACAGTGACTGCTGCTAATGACTGCTGCCAATCAGTCACTATAGTCCGGCGGGGGGAATTCCGCCATCCGCGATGTTAACATTGATGGAGGATTCTAAAGTATTTTCCCATGGGACTGAACGAGAAAAAACGAAGAGTATATGGCCAGCTTCACTCCCCGTGATGGATTCTCTGGAAGGTAACTGAAGCTTGGAGAGCAAACTCCATGGTGCCGGTCTCAGCAAGTGGGCTGACTTGGGAGGTAAGATGCATATCTCTTACCAATGGAGTCACTACACACTGCGGCTGCACTAACCGTTTACTGAAAAGGTTCTGATATTTACCTGCACGTCTCCTCCAACTCCACCCACTTTTGGGTCTTCCTCCAAAATACGCAGCATTTCTGCAGTGCATGCTGGGTCCAACACAGTGTCAGAATCGCAGACCTACAAAATGAAAGGGTATCAAATATTATGGAGCTGTTCTGTTTTCACATAAACTGATATAAACAGGATTATCCACAAAAGGGTGAAGAGTTTGGAGAAGGCCGGAGAAGTGAACCATATAGTGTTCCTTATATTGTACAGCGCTGCGCAAACTGTTGCCGCTATATAAATACTGTATAATAATCCAAGATCTGTGCATCCGCACACTGTCAGTGCAGTCCCGGGGGCATATCCACTCTCCGGCTCCCTTTTTGGTTAGGGACTGAAAGTCCTCCAACTGGAACTCACTGCAAGCAGAATGAAAAGCACAAATAGTTGTGGGGGTGGGGAACTCCGGCCCTCCAGCTGTTGCAGAACTACAAGTCCCATGAGGCATTGCAACACTGACAGTCCCAGTTCACACCACAGGCGTTTGTGGCTCGTATTTGTCAGCACTGAAAAGCTCAACACAAGAAATCCCATTTATTTCTATACTCCCCGTTCACGCCTCAGCATAGCGTCCCGCGTGGAAAAAGCCTGTCGCTGAATAAAAGTACATGAGCTTTTTTGGGGGCGGGGCGCAAATCAGCACCATTTGCAGGTTTTTCCTATTGAGTCTATGGGGACAAATCGCACTGATCCGCACAAAAAAAAAGAAGCTCATGTACTTTTTTTCCAGCGACAGGCTTTTTTCTACGCGGGACGCTACGCTGAGGCGTGAACAGGGACTATAGAAATAAATGGGATTTTTTTGTGTTGAGCTTTCCAGTGCTGACAAATACGAGCCACAAACGCCTGTGGTGTGAACAGGGACTAACAGGCATGACTCCCAGAGGCATGTTGGAATTTATAGTTAAAGCACAGCTGGAGTGCCAGAGTTGCCCACCCCTGCCCAAGGGTATAGAAACTAAAATATACTCATATTCGGATTACAATTGAACACATCACAACTATATCCCGACCCTTATTCCCTAGGCAACTGCATAAAGAGGACTCTCTGTGAGTAGAATGTACATTGCTGCAGACTTGACTTTGTTTGGACTTTTATTACAGCACACGTGTTATTGTGTTTATGATACTGTAGCATAAGACGGATCAGGCCTGTGGAAAATAGCTGATACTTGGCACAAGCCGTTGGATGGAATGTGGGGAGAGCTGTGTGTTTTATGAATTGTGTTCTGACTGGGAAGGATCCATAAATAAAGCCCAAGAAGACATGACACGAGCTGCCGAGAGTCTTGTGATGCTTCCCTATAGATTCCTCATTTTGTGGCAGATTTATAAAGCATTTACAACACAATTATCTGTCCGGTGATCAGCTACTGTCATGGACCTATGTCAGGGAACTCCTTGTCCTTGCTACTGCTTCAGGTTATATGAATCTTCTGATATATGTTAGGAAATGTTCTGACATTGTTTATAACCCAAAAATTGTGAAGCTTCTTCTTTCCATGGAAACAATTGGCTTGCCCCTTCCCAGGGTCGGCCCTAAATGATCCTTTATAGCACATCACACACCTACCCGGCCTTTCCTACACCACCCTTCCTCTCTAGACCCTATCATCCCTCTTTAGGGATTTCTCCACCACTCAGACCCTCAACGTCACTTCCAACCTCATATTGTCAACAACTTCACACTTGGGGTCTATTTATAAACAATTTGCCGAGCCATTCGCCCTGTGAATCTCTGAACATTCGTTCTGCGTCCATGGAGGCAAAAACAAACGCCCTTAGTGTATTTTCTTTTCAGGTCAAATGTTACATTTGGAATATAGGGTGTATACCCCATTATGGCCACTAGATGGAGCCGAGGAAAGAAGTATTTATTTACTATACTCCTCAGCTCCATCTAGTGGCCATAATGTAGTTTTATCCAAACGTTACATGTGGCCTAAAAAGAAATAACATACTAAAGATGTTTGTTTTTGCCTCTATTCGCACAGAATGAATGTTCACAAAGATTCACACGGTGAATGGATCTGTAAATTGTTTATAAATATACTTCTTAATTATATATTTCCCGCTCCATTGCATTGTGGGCAGGTCGGGTGTATGTCACATGTTCCCCCATACCTGGAAGTACCAGGATTGGAGATCAGTGATAAAGGTAAGTATAGACACTGGGCTGCGACTTGTAAAAGGCTGGGTGGTGAGTTGGAACTTTGCTTTAACGTTCTCCTCCAGGCAGATACAAAAGACACAAATCAGTGCAGCTCTGTATTCATTAACACATCCTTAAGGGCCCATTCAGACCCGTCCGTTCTGGTGCATGGCGTCAATAGACATTCTTTTGCACGTCAACATGCTTGTGTTAAGGTTTCCCATCCAAATTCACTGTCCAGTCACAACTCTCAGGACTGAATGGACAAATAAATATATATATATACATATATATATATATATATACTGCCCCATATAGCCCTATTCATGACTTCATTGAACCCTGCTACAAAGTTGCTGCCTGGTAGCGTGCACTCAAATGCCATGTGCTACAACGCAGCCTGCATGGCCCATGATTCCTGCACCAGCCTGTACAAGCCCTACATCCTCCATATTGTACAACTACAATACATAATTCCAATACAGACCATAGCAATGTATCTCTTACCTGCACATAGTCCACACTGTCTCCCAGTGCTCGGAAGGCTGTGTACATCACCTCTCTCTTTCCTCCCCATCTTTGCATGATACAGGTATACGGAAACTTCTGTACCAGTTCCTGTACGCCCCTTTCGCCTTCCTGCCCCCCTTCTTCTGTCACATGGTAGTTATTGTCCCAGACGTAGCAGCAGGTGCCTTCAGATCCCATCACCTCCCTGAAAATGTCCATCATGTATCTGTCATCTTCCGCGTTTCCATCCACCACCATCACGACCCGCAGGTGAGGGTAGGAGAGCCGCCGTACCGACTGCAGGCACTTTCTAAGGTACTCCAGGTCTTCTTGATAGGCTGCGATGCATAGCGCCACTCTAGAGTTTCCCGTCGGGAACTTCTGCCTTCCTTTCCGCATCCGTCTGTGCTCCAGGTAAGCGAAAAGGCTCTGGGTGAGCAGATGCAGTCCCAGGATGGCCCCGTACAGTCCGAAGGAGAGGTGGTGCCGGTCGGTGTGTATGAACTGGTATCCGGTGACATAGGCAGCGAGAATGCCCCCCAGCACCAGCAGGGCAAAGAGGCTTGTGCCCAGGACCTTCAAAGCCGTCAGCAGCCGCCCTGGCATCTGCCCCGAGAGAAAAACAGACAGAGTTGAATTAAACCCAGTGTAGCAAGTACCCGAAGATACATCCAAGTCACCACATGTATAGCTGACAGTTTAAGTGCCGCGTCTGCCAGCTGTGTCAGCGAAGTGCGTCCCTCCACATGATAACTTATAATTATACACAGGTATAAGGAGTCCTGACTGGAAAGGATTACTTAAAGGGGAAGTCAACTTTATATTCATGCTCTTTCCAAAGAATCCAAAAATAAAAAAGTTATAGCGCAACTCAATGTAGATTTTTTTTTTATCTCTTCCCCGTCCCATCCCAAAAAAAAGAATTCCCAAATCACGTCTCACCCTCCAGAACCTTCATCGTCCAGCACCAGTCCTCTTCCATTAATTTGCATAATTCATTCCACTGGCTTCCTGTGAGCCCAGGCTGCCAATAAAACACCCCCTGGTTGTGCGTCATTATACAGCCTGCGCGCACAATGAATGCTGCACAGACCACTGCTCACAGGTCATGACATCAGCCAAGGTCTATGCCAGGGCTGGACTAATCCTAGGAGCCAGGTCGCCAGTGCGCCTAAACATTCCAGCTAGTGCCCAACTTTTGAGGTTTTCTCTAGTTGTTGTCAATGGAGCTGGCTCCTAAAAACGATCCTGCTGGCTCCTGGATTGGAGGGACTGGCTACTGAATTCCAGATTAATTTGTCCAACTCTGGTCTCATGCAGACTGCCTACCGCCACCACTGAAGAGGGGTTCTGGCTTGTCTTTTGACCCTTCTGAAGATTCCTGGAATTAAGGAATGTATCCTGGGACTTTGTTCGGGTGCAGTTGGGGGCACTGGTGATATTTAGGATGCTTAGTGCCCTCGGACTAGAACCAAATCAACCCCTAGTTAGTTCTTATAGGTCATTAAAGTGGAACGACAGCCAAAAATCACATCCTGAGGATCTCAGTCATATGTCCCACATATAAGTCTCACCTGACTCTTAGTGCTGCAATTACACCCCTGAACCCCACCACCGCCCCTGAAATCTGGGGTTATGAGCCATCGGTTGTGTCATTGCAGGCATCAATATCTTTTTAAGATCTGATTTCTTAGTCACCTCTCCTCCCCTGGCCAGCTGATTGGACAGCAAAGAAGAGGAGCATCTTATTGATGGGGTTACCCCTGAGCTTTTGCCCTCCTGTAAGCATGTTTACAGTGTTAGAGCCAGAGTTGACAGGCTTTGGCCTTGTACCAATGGCATGCGTTTGACATCAGTTTGAGATGCTCCTGAGACCATTCACAATCATTGAGAGGTGCATTAGGCCTGCAGTTGACCATAGACTTGTATGAGAATACAAAACCTGCTTGAAGCAAACTAAGCCCGGTGGCAGGTTCTGTAGATGGTCCAGTAGAATAGAACAGATACAATTGTGAGAAGGTCAGCAATGGCAGACTCACTTTTCTCTCCTACGGGGAGTGCGTCACAATACGGGGTCATTATAGACTACAAGAGATCTGCTGCTAGTCAAAGTGCAAATGACTGAAATGAAGTGGAACAATAACAGATGGAATGGCGGGATCAACAGGCAATACAATTATGTTATAAGGTCACTCAGAACATCATTTGATTTTCCTCATTTTCATGCAAGAAAATAGCACAAGACTTAAAGGGATATTACACCTCCGTATTTTTGTGAATGGCAGGCCCACGCTTGCCCAAATCCTCCATTATTTTTGTTTAAAAATGTTCAGTTCCTCGTTCTCTAGTAGGTCCCCGCATTGCTCTCCCCACCGCTCCCTGCACAGGTGCCTCCATCAGCTAGCCGGCTGTTACGGAGGCACTCGTGCGTAGTGACGTCACAAAGGGGGTGCGGCCCGCACCCCACCCGGGAGGGGTGACACCAAAATGAGTGACAGTCATTTTGGTGTCACCCTACCTCTGAAAAGTCGGGCGCTCGGTCATGTACCGAAAGCCTGACAGTATCAGGAGAGAGGAGGGGACCCGGCGGCATACCTTAACGATGTGATTGGAAGAGGAGAGAAGTTGTGATTGGTGGAGGAGAGAAGATGTGATTGGTGGAGGAGAGAAGATATGATTGGAGGAGGAGAGAAGATGTGATTGGAAGAGGAGAGAAGATGGGATTGGAAGAGGAGAGAAGATGGGATTGGAAGAGGAGAGAAGATGGGATTGGAAGAGGAGAGAAGATGGGATTGGAAGAGGAGAGAAGATGGGATTGGAAGAGGAGAGAAGATGGGATTGGAAGAGGAGAGAAGATGGGATTGGAAGAGGAGAGAAGATGGGATTGGAAGAGGAGAGAAGATGGGATTGGAAGAGGAGAGAAGATGGGATTGGAAGAGGAGAGAAGATGGGATTGGAAGAGGAGAGAAGATGGGATTGGAAGAGGAGAGAAGATGGGATTGGAAGAGGAGAGAAGATGGGATTGGAAGAGGAGAGAAGATGGGATTGGAAGAGGAGAGAAGATGGGATTGGAAGAGGAGAGAAGATGGGATTGGAAGAGGAGAGAAGATGGGATTGGAAGAGGAGAGAAGATGGGATTGGAAGAGGAGAGAAGATGGGATTGGAAGAGGAGAGAAGATGGGATTGGAAGAGGAGAGAAGATGGGATTGGAAGAGGAGAGAAGATGGGATTGGAAGAGGAGAGAAGATGGGATTGGAAGAGGAGAGAAGATGGGATTGGAAGAGGAGAGAAGATGGGATTGGAAGAGGAGAGAAGATGGGATTGGAAGAGGAGAGAAGATGGGATTGGAAGAGGAGAGAAGATGGGATTGGAAGAGGAGAGAAGATGGGATTGGAAGAGGAGAGAAGATGGGATTGGAAGAGGAGAGAAGATGGGATTGGAAGAGGAGAGAAGATGGGATTGGAAGAGGAGAGAAGATGGGATTGGAAGAGGAGAGAAGATGGGATTGGAAGAGGAGAGAAGATGGGATTGGAAGAGGAGAGAAGATGGGATTGGAAGAGGAGAGAAGATGGGATTGGAAGAGGAGAGAAGATGGGATTGGAAGAGGAGAGAAGATGGGATTGGAAGAGGAGAGAAGATGGGATTGGAAGAGGAGAGAAGATGGGATTGGAAGAGGAGAGAAGATGGGATTGGAAGAGGAGAGAAGATGGGATTGGAAGAGGAGAGAAGATGGGATTGGAAGAGGAGAGAAGATGGGATTGGAAGAGGAGAGAAGATGGGATTGGAAGAGGAGAGAAGATGGGATTGGAAGAGGAGAGAAGATGGGATTGGAAGAGGAGAGAAGATGGGATTGGAAGAGGAGAGAAGATGGGATTGGAAGAGGAGAGAAGATGGGATTGGAAGAGGAGAGAAGATGGGATTGGAAGAGGAGAGAAGATGGGATTGGAAGAGGAGAGAAGATGGGATTGGAAGAGGAGAGAAGATGGGATTGGAAGAGGAGAGAAGATGGGATTGGAAGAGGAGAGAAGATGGGATTGGAAGAGGAGAGAAGATGGGATTGGAAGAGGAGAGAAGATGGGATTGGAAGAGGAGAGAAGATGGGATTGGAAGAGGAGAGAAGATGGGATTGGAAGAGGAGAGAAGATGGGATTGGAAGAGGAGAGAAGATGGGATTGGAAGAGGAGAGAAGATGGGATTGGAAGAGGAGAGAAGATGGGATTGGAAGAGGAGAGAAGATGGGATTGGAAGAGGAGAGAAGATGGGATTGGAAGAGGAGAGAAGATGGGATTGGAAGAGGAGAGAAGATGGGATTGGAAGAGGAGAGAAGATGGGATTGGAAGAGGAGAGAAGATGGGATTGGAAGAGGAGAGAAGATGGGATTGGAAGAGGAGAGAAGATGGGATTGGAAGAGGAGAGAAGATGGGATTGGAAGAGGAGAGAAGATGGGATTGGAAGAGGAGAGAAGATGGGATTGGAAGAGGAGAGAAGATGGGATTGGAAGAGGAGAGAAGATGGGATTGGAAGAGGAGAGAAGATGGGATTGGAAGAGGAGAGAAGATGGGATTGGAAGAGGAGAGAAGATGGGATTGGAAGAGGAGAGAAGATGGGATTGGAAGAGGAGAGAAGATGGGATTGGAAGAGGAGAGAAGATGGGATTGGAAGAGGAGAGAAGATGGGATTGGAAGAGGAGAGAAGATGGGATTGGAAGAGGAGAGAAGATGGGATTGGAAGAGGAGAGAAGATGGGATTGGAAGAGGAGAGAAGATGGGATTGGAAGAGGAGAGAAGATGGGATTGGAAGAGGAGAGAAGATGGGATTGGAAGAGGAGAGAAGATGGGATTGGAAGAGGAGAGAAGATGGGATTGGAAGAGGAGAGAAGATGGGATTGGAAGAGGAGAGAAGATGGGATTGGAAGAGGAGAGAAGATGGGATTGGAAGAGGAGAGAAGATGGGATTGGAAGAGGAGAGAAGATGGGATTGGAAGAGGAGAGAAGATGGGATTGGAAGAGGAGAGAAGATGGGATTGGAAGAGGAGAGAAGATGGGATTGGAAGAGGAGAGAAGATGGGATTGGAAGAGGAGAGAAGATGGGATTGGAAGAGGAGAGAAGATGGGATTGGAAGAGGAGAGAAGATGGGATTGGAAGAGGAGAGAAGATGGGATTGGAAGAGGAGAGAAGATGGGATTGGAAGAGGAGAGAAGATGGGATTGGAAGAGGAGAGAAGATGGGATTGGAAGAGGAGAGAAGATGGGATTGGAAGAGGAGAGAAGATGGGATTGGAAGAGGAGAGAAGATGGGATTGGAAGAGGAGAGAAGATGGGATTGGAAGAGGAGAGAAGATGGGATTGGAAGAGGAGAGAAGATGGGATTGGAAGAGGAGAGAAGATGGGATTGGAAGAGGAGAGAAGATGGGATTGGAAGAGGAGAGAAGATGGGATTGGAAGAGGAGAGAAGATGGGATTGGAAGAGGAGAGAAGATGGGATTGGAAGAGGAGAGAAGATGGGATTGGAAGAGGAGAGAAGATGGGATTGGAAGAGGAGAGAAGATGGGATTGGAAGAGGAGAGAAGATGGGATTGGAAGAGGAGAGAAGATGGGATTGGAAGA